AGCCCGGTGTGGGGGTCACAGCCTGCCCCGGGGGTGACCATGGGAAGAGCAGGACACCCTCATCTCCCACCAGCCAGAAACAGCAGCGGGTAGGACGAGGGTCCCGTCAGGCAGGGGGACGGTTCATTGCGGGTGTTGGGTGGGTAGCGATGAAGAGCCACTCTCCTTCCCCGCCACCGCAGCCCTGAGGCTGGACAGACGGGTGGGTAACGCTGCTGCCCTCCTTCCCTCGCCCCAGCTCTCCCCCTCCTGACACTGCCGGCGTCTCGCCCCACAGCAGAGCCTGCCCACTCAGCGCCCACCTCCGCCCTGGCACCCACCCTCCCCTCAGTGGACCTGCTCAGCACCCTCCTGATCTTCGGGGTCCCGGCAGTGGTGGGGCTCATCCTGTCCCTGGCCGCCTTCTGGGGCTTCCTGGTCTGCAAGGTGGGGAAGCCGAGGAGGAAGAGGAAGGCGGCAGATGAGGAGGCTGAAGGTAGGGGACCACTTGCTCTCCCTGTCACAGCACCCTGAGGACCCCAGGGCAGATGGGATCACCTGCCACCAGCTCCCCTGAGGCGCATCCCTGTCGAGGCCGACTCCTCCACCTCGACACAGGCTCCTGGGGCACCCCGGGGCATTTTGAGGCAGCTGAGCTGCCCCCTGAGTGACGGTGTCCCGCATCTCCTGGGAACGGATGCTACACCTGAACTGCCTGCTCAACCATCCCTCCCTTTGCTGGGTCTCCCTGTGCCTTCGCTTGCTTAAAGCACCTGCTGGCACCATGCCCTCTCCATGGGGAGAGGGGCACTGGTGAGGAGCCTCTCCCTCTCCCCTGGTGGCTGGAGGGCCATGGACGGAATGGGGGCAGCAGTGGACATCTGGGGATGGCTCCAGAGGGAGCGTCTCCCCATGGCACTGCAAATGGGGGTCCCGTGTTGACCACCCAGCTTGCCATTCTTGCTTGGGATGCCCGGTACACTCCAACGCGCACCCCAAACACCCTGACCGTGTCAGGGACAGCCCCATCAGCAGGACGCCAGAGCACCGCATGGGGTCATCCCCAAAGTCATCAAAAATAGGGTTGGGAGGTTGGGGATGGGGCTGAGCCTTTTCTGGCAGGGTAGTTCCAGTGGGGTGAGGCCACGGTGCCCCGTGATGGCCCATCTTGTTGGGGCATCAGCCGGGGGCTGGGCAGCCATTTCCTCCCCTGGGGACCCCCGCCCTGGCGCTGACTCAACCCTGGCCACTCTTCTCGGAAACGGTCTCGCCTGGCTTCACCCCTCTCCAACCCCGGGCAGGGGGTATGGCTCCCCAGGACCCCCATGAGGGGCCACCCCAGGGGATGCTGGCACCCACGACCGCCCCACTGCCCAGGGGGGCACCCTCGGGGAGTGGAAGGGCCAGGGGCAGCCAGTCCTCACGCCCCAGTTTGCCCACGTGCCGCCGGCAGTGCTGGATGGGTGACTCAGACTGGGGGGACATTACCTGGGGCCTTTCCGTTAAACCAAGTGTGGCTGCGACAGCCTGTGACACACATGCCTGGGAAAAATACCAAGAATGAAAGAGGAGGGAGAAATCCAGTGGCAAGAGAGGTCTGTCCATGATGGAGAGCATTGGAGGCACTCCTCGGTTACTCCTCTTCCGCATGCCCTGGTCCCTGTCCCCCCCGGCCCCCCCCGGCTGCACCCCAGCAAGCCCACTGCTGTGGCACTGGATGCGTGGAAAGTCGCAGGAGGCTTGGGGCCAGCGGCACGCGCCTGTGTTTGAAGCATGTAAACAAGTCTATTTTTAAGTGGGAGGCGGTCGGGGAGGGCGAACCGCCAAGGGCCGGGCTGCTCTGTCACTGGCAGGGTTTAGCGAGAGGGCTCGAAGTGCAAGTGCAAGTTTCTGCCTTTCCCTATTGTTTTTTAGGGGGGAAAAAACCCATCAGTTGTAAGCAGGAGGAGGTCTGCGGCAGGAGGGGGGTGGTGGGGACCCTGCAGGCTGTCCCTGCTCCAGCTCCATCTTCCCCTCCATGTGTCCCCAGGGACAGGACCCTCTCCCTGGGACCTGCCTGGCCCCAGTTTGTGAGCCCTGTAACCCCTTTTCTTGCCCCCTCCCAGCAAACATGGATGCCGCCAGTCCCCTGCCCAGCCCGGGCTGCCAAGACCCTGCCGTGCCAAAGGGAGATGCCGCTGTGGCCCCAGCCCCATGCCCGCATCTTAATGGAGGCCTGAAGATGCTGGGGCCACCTGAGAAAGCTGGGGCAAAGCGGAGGCCGTGCTGCCGGGGTGATACCGACGACATTGTCCTGCTCTCCACCGTGTACCCCCTGCACAAGGAGTGCAACCATGGCTTCCCGCTACCTGCCACCGAGCTGGGGGCTACAGCCCTGGTCACCACCAAAACCACCCAGAACTGCGCCAGCGACGATAGAGCCTGAGGGTGGAGGGAACGGGGCTGGAGCGCTCCACCTGCTCCCTGTGGACGCCCAGAGCCTGTCACCTGGGTGGGCAAAGCCTTGTATGGATGTGAGCTGTCTGAGGACCAGGTTTTGCCTTGAGCAAGATCAGCCTTCTAAGATGACTGCCCTTTCCCACTTTCCCGTTTGTGCTGAGTCCCAAGTTACGCCTGTAAGCGCTTGGAGGAAGCCGAAGCGGATCACGCTGAGTTACGCCGAGTTGCCGACAGCTGCTGCAGCCGTGCTGTCAGGAGGAGCCAGAGGAGACACGGCCAGCAAGGACAGACTGTGGCGGGGGCTGCTGTGCCATTTGTGAGGCTGCCATTGTGCCAGGATGGTTTTGCTGCTGGATGGGCGATTCCTGGGGACACAGGGCTGGAATGGCGGAAGGGGGGGGGGGGGGGAGATGGACAGGGAAGCAGGGAGTTAGATTAGGATCAAGTCCCACACCGCTGCCATTAGCTCATTTTTTGCTGCTGACCTCAATAAAAGGAGGCTTGGGGCCATATGGAGCAAGGCGCATCCAGCATCTGCTCCATTCACAGTCTTGTCCCCCCCTCTTCTCATATCTTCTTATATCCATGTCTCTCCTCCCTCTGGGTGCTCTCACATGATGGCAGGTGCCCACTGGCAGTCGTGGGAACCCCCTCCACAGCCGGGTACCCAGGGGATGGGAAACAAGTCCGTCTTCCCAAGTATGGAGCAAGGGAGGGTAGAGGGAGGGAATAAAAGCTGTCTTTGCTCTGACCTACAATCACTGAAGTCAGGGAGGACCAGGGGCAGGCAACGGAGACTGCTGGTCTAGAGATGCTCCATGAGCTTGTCATTGCAGCCCCGGACAACCATCACTTCAGCTCACTGTGGCTGCAGAAATACCGTGTGTCACTTGGGATAACAGGGCTCCTGGTGATGGATGTTTCCACGCCACACAAAACCAGGCAGGGAGTGATATGAGCATAGGCGGGATGACTTAATTCATGTGAGTGTCTTCAAGGCTTTGCCTGTGTGCCAGAGCTGGCCAGTGTTGCTGGTCCAAGGCATTTCTCTGTAGATGGTCTTGTTCACCTGCCCGCAAGTGGCTTTACTGTGCAGGAAGGGCTCTGCTTCGGAAACAAACTTGTTAGTGTGGGATTGCTGTTCCCAAGTAATTACAGCAGCCGATCCCCCGGCTGAACAGAGCCGGCCAATGGCTTCGGTGAGAAATCCTGCTGGCCCCAGAGGGGGTGATCAGGCAATTAGAAGTGCCTTGGTGGGGGTTATTTGCATGAAGTGCCATCTCGGTGGCAGCCCAGATGAGCTCTTCCTTTGGCGAGGTGGCTTTCTCACCTGGGAGGCTTCAGGGACCGAGCAGAGGTAGCCAAGAAAAGTGTGGGAGCACTGCTGCCAAGCGCCAATGGGACACTGAGGGCCACAGCTCACAGTAGGGTCACCCAGTGGCACTGTGCGGAGGGGATGTCCCTCTGATGAGAGGAAGGTGACCCTCCACCCAAGCCTGAGCTCTCTTCTGGGGCTGCAGGACCAGACGCTGCTGTTGAAGGGTGAACCTCCCTCTTCTCCCCTGCCATGGCACTGGAGCCAGACTCGCGGCATCCGTCCCATAAGAGGAACCACAGGAGCTGCCACAGGTGCCAAGGCCAAAATTCCTCACCACAACTCCTCTCCCAGACCTAAACGTGCTGGCAGAGGTGATCCTTCATCCAGCTGAGGCTCCACATGGCCCAGGATGGGATGGGTCCGCATATCAGCTTCGGAGCCAGGGATGCAAGAGGGGGCGGACC